CATTTTGAGACACTATTTGGAACGAACTGTGAACACCCCAATAGTTTACCAGACTAACATAAGGAAGCTGAAAAGGATGCTCACAGTTGATAAAATTACCGAGTACCAACTAGCAGTTTACCAAGTACCAACTAGCAGGTGTGAAGACCCTAATTATTTTGCTTTGACAACTGAGTTCGATACCTTTCCGATTAAAATAGAGATGGCAGCAGTTTATTCGTTACACCCGATTTACAACTTCTTGAAAGCATGACAAAAAAATTACAAAAGGTAAAACCATTGAGGCAGTCTAACGTTTGCATGCATTATTATTTTGAAATTCAAAACTGAAACTCACACACACAAACGTAAAAAAAGATCATGGCCAACGAAATCAAAAAATGATTTTAATTGGTAACGTTTTTATCATTCTTGAAAGCATTCTTGCTCGCTCTCTTTTGTGCTTTATATTTGCTTTTACACGCTTCAATTTTGACGAGCTCAAGTTTTTGGTTCTTAAAATGGGAACAACGAAAGTCGAATAGTAACTAGATCTGAATTGCATACAAATGAGGGAAAAGTACTTGAAAACCTCGCTTACGTGAAGATATATCGAGCCCTAACCGCCAAAATAACGTAAGCGACATTTTTTTCAAAATTTTCTCTTTGATGCAGAAATATTCCTAGAGCATTTAGATGCTTTTCTGCATCAAAAAGAAAATTTTGAAAAAAATGTCGCTTACGTTATTTTGGCGGTTAGGGCTCGATATGGTACATCCCACCCAAATGAATCGCAGAAAGTGGGAAGCATACTTTTTCTCGCATGTCAAGTGGTTCCCGAGCTCTCGCTTGCTTTCAACTGTCATTTTTGTTGTTTAGAAGCTCTTTTATAATTTCGCAGAGTTCTTCAGAACCACATCGTTTATTTTGTTGGCAAACACAAACTTACACCCAAAATTGTTTTGCACGTCTTTTTCTATATTTTATATGCAGGTTTTTCCAATGAATGAAGATGGTCAGTAAGACTAATTAAGTCAAGGTGATTCCTATAAGATTCTTCTTTAGGTAACTAAAAGTGTAAAATTTTGGTGCTTGTGATGTAAACAAACACTCAGCTGAGGAACCCGCTTCCACGATTTTTATTTTTTTTTTCTCAAAATCAGTTACAAATACAACGTCGCGTTTTTATGTGATCTTGTATTTTTGGTTCATGCTTCCTATACAGTTCAATGCGTGCGTGAGCGTGAACGTTTGCAAAGGCAAAGAATTCCATTTGTATTCTTATGGACGCTCACAAACATCTGTCAAAACTGGTCGTTCACATGCGAATGCTTTGCGTACGCACACAGTTGACACACATTTTAAGTTTGCATTTTATTTTATAATTCTGAAGATGTTTTAATTATCTATTTATTGATGTATCAGTTATTGCAAAAAGTTAAGTAATAACGAAGATATTAGTCAAAATGTAAAGCTCACGCTCATGCTCGTATTGAACTGTACAGCAGGCTCTTCAGTAGTTAAACACTCTCTCAATTGGCGTACGGAGTACAAATCGCACCCACATCTCTAGCACTCGGTACCGTTCGATCATCAAATATATCGATATTAAATTGTTGGTATCGCTTCATTGCACATCGCAACAATAACTAGACGTTTTTGACTTTTCCTTGTCACAGAAAGAAAAAATCTTACATTTGACGCAAGTTAATAGATTTTAATTTTTTAATTTTTGCATTTTCTACCGATTTTACGAACATAGTCAATTGAAGCATAGAAAAATTAAATTGTGAAAGTGGCCACGTCTACATACGCGATTGAATTTTAATCAATTTGCTGCGATCTGTGATTCGAATTTAGAAGAAAAAGTAATATGTGCATTTTGAAGGTGCGTAACAAGTATAAAATAAGAAAAAAAAATTAAACGAAAAAGTGGAAAAGTTATATACATACACATGTATGTATGTAAAAAAAAGTGCAACGTAACAACCATCTTAATGTTTATATCGATTACGAAGTCGCCGAGGGGCTATTCAATGAAAAAATTATGAAGTGAAAATTAAGTTTCATAATTGAAACTGACTGACTAATGAGATTCAGTTTTTTTTACTGGTACACATATAGCCATGACAAATTTAGATTTTTCGTAGTTATAAATGCATTCTTTCGTTTAGCAATCTTGGATTTTTCAGCCAGCATTTCTACCTTGTGTTCGTTACATATGTACTTGCATATATGTATACGACTTTATTATAAAGTTACCACTCCCCTAGGGAAGCACCTAGATATCTCCGTATTGGTCATGCGACAGTTACTAATTGAGGAAGTACTCGCCCTACCCCTTTCAATTACCCACCTTCGCAATTATGATCGGTTTGAAATAGAAAAAATGGTATTTGAGTGACTCTTATACGACCATCAGCACTGGGCCTACGCAATTTTCTATGGTTCCTTTCCGTGCATTTTAGACAAAAGCTCTATTTTGTTTTCCTCACACTTCTCACATTTGAGTGGAAAATCCATATTTGATGCGAACGTTCTGCCGCTTCCGTTTCGATGGCTATTGTTCCAACAACAAAGTAATTTGTCGAGAAAAATTCATTCCTCTACTCCGGAGAAGCTGTTGCGAGCAGCATATTTATGTTGTAGATCATTGCTATAGTAAAACCAACAAAAAAGGAGCTGCGACGTCGACTACGCATCGAGTGGTGACGCGATGTGAGCAGTCGTGGCTGTTGTTTGTTGTTTTGCTTTGCCATCGTCAACAACATCTAACAAATTCTCTTTGTTTCTGCTTGCACTGCTTACGTACACTAAAGCAACGTCGGCGCAGTCGATGCCACCACAATCACCCGTACGGTCAACGTCGTCGCCAGCTGCCATCTGATCACTGGTTCCAAATATTTCTTAGCTTTCATTAATGCAGTGTATTAGTAATAAAGGTATGGATATTGTTGCGCGTATGCACGTCCTTATATATGTATGTAAGCACTAATAAACTTAATAAAAACACGTTGCTATTTACATACATATGTCCATCCACTAAGTATTGACAGTATCATTTGTCTTCCAGTTGCATCCAAATCTTTTTAGTATATGAGATTCTCTGTTATTTTTGTCAGCAACAGCTGCTGACGTTGGCAGTGATTTTTATTTACATATGTACATACATTTGTAGTTGCATATTCTTCGTGCTTTAGTGTTCAGCTGTGAAATAAGTTTTTAGCTGTTAATTTTATGAATGAACTAGCTTACCCGGCGAACTTCGTCCCGCCCAAAATTAATTTTTTTATTGAAATATTTGGTCCAACGTTTCGCCAGCAATTTACGTTCACGTTTGGTTTTGTGGTCGACAGAAGGAATATCCATTAGCGTCTTAAATAACCTGATGAAAGCGTTATACCGGGAAGAAGTCCTTGCGGCTCGATAGTGAATCGTTCTTGAATCTGTATAGTCTAGTTGGTGGCAATTTCCAAACTGGTGAGTATCACTGATCCACATTCTGTTTAGTCAACATAAAGCAAGGACCGCAGGGTCAAGGTGCAGGAATGGTATTTTCAGGGATTGAAGTCAGAAGTCCAAGCCTTAATTTAAGCTTAAGTGGATTTTTTTTTAATTGCGGTAGGTACTCAAACTTCCAAAAATCAGTTTTTCCTGTTCAACAAATAACTATAAGTGACCATCAAGCAAAGGTGCAGGAATTTGCAGGGATAGTAGCCGAGATTTTCTTTCTTTAATCTAAGCCTAAGTGGGAAGTTCTACCACCCTTTGATTCTTTGCTAGACTGACCTTGTTTTTCTTAAAACTTTATGCTTACGTCAAAATTAGCGTTAACATTAGCTGTATCAAATTTGTTTATATTTTTGGTGGCGTGTGTAATAACTATTGTTAAATAGCCAATACCCGCATGTTTGCAGCGCTTTCAAACACCTTTCGAACTGTAAAACAATGACTCAATTCCATTCTACGCATATCTATAATACGGGTATCGAATTTCAAGCAAATCAGACCATAAATAAGAATTTTTGGAATAGATCGGCCCCTGGTCCAACTATCAGAAAAAGAGTATCCAATATTTTAACCCTGACAATAAGCTACCTACGTGCCAAGTTGCAAGCAAATCGCACCATAAATAAGGCTTTTTCGAATAGATCGGTCCCTGGCCCACTTAACGGGAAAAATGGATCCTATATGCTAATTTTTTAGCGTAGCTCGACCCCTGCCCCACATATCGGAAAAATTAAAACTTTTTGCACTCCTTCTAAACACCTTTCCAAAAAAGCAGCAACCATTCGAATCGGTTATGAAACATATTTAGGAGAAAATTGTTCCCAATTGATTCATGTTCACAATGAATTTCACAATTATCCGAAATTTTCCAAGCTTCACAACGAATTTTCCACCTTAACATTGTCCAAAATCATCAAATCATGCGATAAAATACTAAATTCGTCGAAAAAGATTCAAATATTTCGCGTTCTTCTGGATTTTTCCGACTTTTCCAGAATTTTCTATTTTACCATTCCATACAACGAAATCAATTTTCGATTTTTCCAATTTCCCGACTTTCCCGGAAAGTTTTCCCAAAATTTTCTATCGTAAAAACCTTCTCCTGGAAATTGCGAACAACTAAAAGAAAAATTTTGCCAAATCGGCCCAACCGTTCTCAATTGATGAATTACTATAAATTTTTCACACTATTTTTATATATATAGATATACGTATTTAATACATACATACATTCTTGCTACTGCTAATCACATGAATAAAAATCCTAAAAACGAAATGTGACTGCAATACTTCTTGTTTAAAATGTTTTAGATCCATCGCACACCACGGACTTTATCGGCCGCCGATCTAGTTGGGCTTGCTCGTCTTTCCATTGCACCACAACTAATTGGTCGGAGCGATTAAGTTGGTGTAGTGTGCGCACCTCCATACATCTTCATGTACATATTTCAAGCGAGCCCTACTATTCAAATAGGCGGCCGATAAATTTTGTGGTATGAGGTGGCTCCTATAGCTGCGTTATTACATCTATTCCGTGTGTTGAAATATCCACGGAAGCAGCAGTTATGAAGAAAATTATTTAAAAATATTAGACAAATTCTCTACTTATATGTTTGGCTTTCCTTTGTTTTATTTTTCCAACGTCAAAAGCTGGACTTTTTTTTGAAAAAGTTGGTACAACAAAAAATACGAAACACGTTTTCTGTCAGATAGCTAACATGGCGGATAAGAAGAAGAAGTGAAACTACCCGGAAAAAAAGAATCGTATATGCTAATCTAGGCAAAAAGCTAACTACGTACCAAATTTTAAGCAAATCGGACGATAAATACGATTTTTTCGAATAGATCGGTCCCTGGTCCACTTCCCGGAAAAAAAGCATCCTATGTGTTAATCTAGGCAAAAAGCTACCTAGGTACCAAATTTTAAGCAGATCGGACCATAACTACGATTTTTTCGAATAGATCAGTCCCTGGTCCACTTCCCGGAAAAAAGGATCCTATATGCTAACATAGGCAAAAGGCTACCTACGTACCAAATTTTAAGCAAATCGGACCATAAATACGATTTTTTCGAATAGATCGGTCCCTGGTCCACCGGAGGGTTTTCCCAAAATTTTCTTTCGTAAAAACCTTCTCCTTCGAATTACGAACAACTGAAAAAAAAATTTGCCAAATCGGCCCAACCGTTCTCAATTGATGAATTACTATACATTTTTCACACCATTTTTATATATATAGATGTGTGTCCCCACGAGAGGTCGAAATGACTTTCCATCAAAAATATATTTTTGTATATATTTGTATGAGATTCGATGTAAGGTATAATCAATGTTACTAATTTTTTTTTAATCAAACAAAGCGAATAATTTCAGCAATGCAACATAATTTTTAACAATGATCTTTTAATATAAAAAGCAAAGGGTAAACTATGTAAATACGGACACATATGTATGTACCTATATAGATACTCTTGGCAGTGATGCAATATAGCTATGTATGTATGTATGTATGTACATATATAATTTTTTATATTTACATATGGGTATATCCTCGGTTACGGACGCCACATTCGTACATATGTCTTTAGAGTTCAATAAATCATACGGAAACTGAAGTCTCTTGTAAAAAAATTTGCCGTTGTTTAGCTTTTATACCATCTTTCGGTTGACAAAAAAATTATTTGCGCTTGGAACACTGCTGCCGAGAAAATCGAAGAAAAGAAGGGCGTAACGGACGGGACAAAAACAGAAGTGATTTCAGAGTACATGTAAAAATAAGCAAACCCCATATGTAGATATGTACAGTACATTGTATACTGACTTATTCATCCACACACCAATCATGAATATGTGTTAATTTGTTCCTGGACATTGGTGTAGTATGTCGTCACGAATCAATTAACAAAAGCACTATTTCTCAATGTAACCACTTAGTAAATAAATCAATTTTCAATTTTCCGAAAAATAATCTAAAACTGAATGTACAAGTAATATGGCTAGTGTTGAAAATTATAGAATAAAAAGTTACAAATTTCATAACATTACGAAATCATACATATGTATGTACCTACATATTTTTATAATTGAAAGCCTACGTATCGTTAGCAATTGTATTACATATTTACCTTAATTCACAAAAGCCCTAATAAACACTTATTTCGAAACTGCGTTTTGCACAGATTTTTGTAGGATATATATATATATATATTAAAAAACACATTCGCTAAAAACTTGAAAGTGTCAGTAGGTCCCAAAAACAGCGGAACTATACCCTTTTTTAATAATCCCTTTTTGCAGTTTTTTGTAATGTTTTTTTGCTACTCCTGTAAAATAGAAAATTTGCTGGTTATGGCCTTTGTGAATTAGGAAACGATATATTATATTGTTATTATATTAAATATAGATTATAGTATCTTTCGGTCATCGCCCTCTATTAGAATTAAATCTATATTATTTACTCATGTATAGTATATCTGCACATACATACATACATATGTAGGTATGTACGTTAAAATACTATATGCATACATTTTTTGAGCTTAGATTAGGTCGAAGCTCTTTATTTAAGCTTGTCTAAAAATAAATATGGGATGACACCATATGTACACATGTACATATGTATGTATACATGTACTTATAGGTATGTGTATTCCCAATATGCCCAAAGCAAACTTTTTTAAAATCTTTGAGAATATCTTTATTGTCAAGTGGATGTACAACATTTTGCTCCAACATATTATCGTATCGATCATTTATCTCCAAATAAATAATAACAGTTTGTTGTCCCTTTGCGAGTCAAAAAATTAAATTGCAAATTTTGCTATTTTGCTCTTCGATATTTTTCTTTTAGATTTTACTTAAAAGCGATTTTTGTTACTTTCTAATTGCAGAATGCCCATTCAGGCGCCTTCATGGACAGATTTTCTCTTTTGCCCAATTTGTTGCAATGAATTTGCTGTTAATCACCGTCTACCAATAAGTCTGGGATGTGGTCATACAATATGTCGCCAGTGTCTGGCCAACTTACACAACCGCCAATGCCCCTTCGATCAAGTAAATAAGTTTATACATATCGTTGTTTAAAGTACAAAACCGCGTATATGAGGTTGCATAAATTATCTTCTAGAGAGTAAAAACACTTATATTTCAAAATGGTTTTCTTTCGCATTTCTGGCTAGTGTATTTCAGGACGAATGGATAAGGCTTGAGCCAAGAGCTTGTGTCAGCCAAATCCAATTTTTGGCAAAAAATGTTAGTTACGAGGTTTTGCAGAACGACGATACGCGGTTTTGTACTTTAAACGACGATATGCATACATATGAGTCCAAATATGATTTAATTGATTATTAATTTTAGACCACCATCACAACCGATGTCG